AACATATTTTTTTTCAGAACTGTTAATTTTATAACTTTCTTTTGGTTTTGTTTTTTTTTTAATTAAAGGGGTAAAATGAACAACTTGCATAATGGTTTTTTATTCCTATCCTCAGACTAACACATAAATTTGGTGTAAAAAAATGGTAATATACCACTATCTGGATTTTAAACTGAAATGTGATTTCTCACTCTTTGTTATTTGAAAAATGAATAAAGAATTATTCATATATATATATAAATTAAAGAATATTGTAATACACATTTGATGTATTTGACAGTCTTTGAACTAATCTACCTTGAAACATGATGTTAAATTTAAAGTTGCACTTGCAAAATTATGTATAAAACAGTAATTATCCTTCCTATCCAGCCTGACCTAAGTAGTGCATAAAGCAATTTCTTTGTAGCAGCCTAATCTGGGACTTTTTTAATCAGCAGCAATTAGAAGCATTTCTCTGCAGATGTTTCTTCTAATAGCTTCTCCATGACCTGAACTCCTCTTTCAGAGACCCTGAACAAGTCTACATCCATTTTCAATTTTTAAACAAAAGGCGAGAGCTATAGACTTTAAGAAGCCCGGAGACAGAGATGCTTGTCTTCTAGACGATATTAGCCTTTCCGTATGTAGTCACTGCAGCACTACATCATGCTGATTCCTCTTTTAACAACACGCTGATGCCAAGGCAACTGTCACCTTCCCTTTATTTTGTGTTTCAGAGCGTTACTCAGGTTTCAGACACTCCTGTGCTGCTTGAACAGAAACAGAGATAAACTGTTACATATAGAGAATGTAATCTTTGTTTTCCCACTGAAAGATAGAGCTAAATGTTCAACTGTTAAACTTGTATAGCTTCACTGGCTGCCTTGGGCTAGATAATGTACACTGGCTGTGAATCTAGGACTTTTTAAAGTGGTTTATATAAGAGGCAGTACAAATGAAGGGAATACATTTGTAAAAGAGGAAGGAAAAAAATCTATGAAATTATTCTACTCTGTTGGCCTGGTATTTTTCTATTCATTTAAGAATGATTCCACTATGCTCAGTGGCAGTTTATTGCTTTTCAACAAACACAACTTCATTCACTGCTGTTGAGTAACTTCTGAGTTCAGCTGGGAAAAATCAGTTGTTTACTCCTCATGTGAGAAGCGGAGAGCTCAGAAATCTCTATGCACACTATAAATGAGCCTTAGAAGTGGGTGGGCTGCTTTGTTTGTAATTATGTTTTGCTTCCTGATCAGTGGAGATGTGAATGACGAGGAGGACTGGAAGTGATTTGGATAAAAATCTGTATCTTTCCTTAATTCTGGCAAAATAATTCCATGGAAACGATGCAGAAATTGTAAAAGAGAAAATACGACTACAAGAGCCTCCTCATGAACGCATGTGATATACAAATGGTGCAGAGATTTGCGCTGGTATTCACCTGGCCTGCAGTGTTTCCAGGAGGGTACAGCAATGTGTGACTGGGCTCTCCTGAGTGCCAGAGCAGGGTTTGCCCTGGGAGCCCTTGGCAACGCCTGGGAGCTTGGCACAGCACCATGGCAACAAAGCAGTTTGCCCCTGGTCCTGAGCTGGGGTGATTCCACGTTTGTACTAGGAACTAAGACACAGGTTTTAAACTTCACAACATAACAAAAAAGTCTGATTTAAAGTGAAGACAATTTTAAGACCTCATCAAAACCCATAAATACATTCTGCTTAATTTTGCCAAGATGACATGTAAACCCGCTTCTTTTGCTGTGAGAAAGGATTGTGTCTGTTGTTTATAGCTTGCTTTTTACCCCTCCTTTTGGCTATTACAACTTTCATTACTATACTGCAAGGAGAATGATTTATATCTGAAGAATGCTGTCTTTTAAAATTGGTTTCTACATTCTTTTGTCTTAAGTGATTTCATAAGTATTTTTGCAGAAGGACACAAAAAAAATCAGTGCAGCATGGCTTTTTGTTGCTGATATTCTTCCCCTGCTAAAGAAAGAAGAAAATTATTCCCTCTAGTGCCACTGCTTTGGTATAAGGAAGTGTATTATTATTCATTGAGATATACTGCCATGTGACATTGTAAAAGCATCTCAGTAAAGGTTATTGAATTATTTATAGAATCTACAATGAAATTAGACAACCTATGTAAATCAGTCTGTCATAATGTTTGCATTTTCCAATGAAAGATAAAGAAAATAAAAATCCATAGGCAAGCAAAAATTACTTGGCATCCAGAGCAATTTATTAATTGGGAAAGAAAAATTATCCACATTGTGCCTTGTCAGCAAAAATTCCTCTCTTTGATTCCAGCAATTCAAAGCCAAAAGGCAAGGTTGAAGACATAGATTCAGGTTGCGTGTACTGGACTCTAAAATTAACTTTAATGCAACAGTCTAGATATTTGATTAGTCTGCACAATTGTAATTTATGTCTGGACATTACTGCTTGCTGAATGTTCCAATCACTTTGGGCAAACCTTATGAAGTTGTCCTCTCTTTCACAATCCAACTGTGATAAACTTCATTGCTTGGCTAAAGAAAGCTGCTTTGGATGCCAGCTAACTCACAATGCTGCTTTACTTGTCTTGAATGCCAGGGAGAAGTGCTTGTAGAGGCTGATTTTTAAGAACCCCTAAGCAGTCTCAGCAATCCTGGAGACCCATAAGCACTTAACTCCTCTAAAAGGCAAGCCCAAGAGACTAAGAATTGAATCTGTACCTCCACATAATGTTTAACCATGTCAGGGCAGTAAAGAGCTCTTTCACAAAGTGGCTTATATTGCACATCTGTGCAACTTCAGCCACTGAAAGCTTTCTGTCGTGTTTGCCCTCATTCACCCCTACAGCATTTAAGTGTACTCTGTCCAATTTCTCTATTTCTACACTACTAAAAAGATCAACTAAGAATGAAACATTCAGCACAGCTTTATATTCAGAACTAGCACTGCAAACATTAAGATAGTCCTTACTCTTCTTTCTCAAGAATGTATAACTGACATTTTATCTCTGTATTAAACAAAGTGAGAAAAAATTTGAGATCCAGCAATTTAAAATTTATTTTCTCTGATGCAAGTCTCCACATCACTCATTTTCTCCAGATTCAACAATAACACCAAATATATTCTCATGTGTCCAGGTTTTCAGTAATCTAAAGAATATGACTAAGCAGGGGTATTTGCTAATTTTTGTGCCTTTTAATATATTGTTTGTTATTTAGGATACAACCTATTCCCATTATTTCCACCAAACAATCAACTTTTTTCTTAACAGCAGGGTCAGTATTTTGAGAACAGGCATGATGTTCCCTCTTTAAACTACACTTCAAGACTTTGCTTTCATACTAGAAGAGCTACAAATCACAAGGAGATGTTTTTCTTACCATAATGAGGAATTATTGCCCAAGCCATTGCAGAAGCGTAGATGCCACCAATCATCCAAAACATACAGAGCCAACTCAGGTGTTCACCTCGTTTCTCCCGAGCAAGCACTTCGGAAAAATAGGAGAAGACTGTTGGCACAGCTCCACCAATCCTAAAAGGAGGTATAGATGATGGATTAAGTGAGAGAGTAACAGCTAGTTGAAGTTTGAACAAGCCCACAGCTGCAGTCATTGAAAACCCAAACTACAAGCAGCTTTTCTGGCAAGAGTGTTTTTATTTCAAATTGCACAATGCATTAGGGAACTCTTGAGGAAACTTTCACTGATTTGGACTCAATTTTTATGAAATATTTCCTTGAAAACTCTGCATAAAATTCATTGCATTCAGTAATTCAAGGGGACTGTCAATGTCCCAGCTGCTGGAAGAGAAACCAGCGCAAAGCGTTGATTTTGGCCAATACAAAAATCCTGAAATCATGGCAGTCTACCGACAAGTGTCAAAATACATTGCTTTTAACTGAAAATAGTAGTCATTTTCCCAAAGAATAATAGATAATTCTCTTAAGTCTTACTTCCGATGCTGTAGGTAATCAAGAAGTAACTAAATGCCACCTATGTTACTGTTTTATGTCATGCATATTTAAAAATACACTGTATTCAGTTGCATTACGTGATTTGCTAAGCCCATGCTGTTTTTTTACTTAAGTTTTTACTTAAGTTTTTTCTTTGCATTCATACAATACTCAGTTTTTCACATGGTAAAAATAAACACTGTCTGAAGGGTAGTTGGACAAAAAGAAGCGTTCAACTTAGTTTTACAAAAATTAGAGTAACTCAAATTATGTATCATTTTCAGTACCAGCTTCCAGATCATCTTTTACTGTCTTTACCTCTTTACTACCAATGCAAGCTGTAAAATGTTTGACAACAGGACAAG